GCCCGTCAGGGGAACTTGCAGCCAGCCAACCAAAAACAAATGGGCTGCCTCCCCCCCCCCCCCACCCCACCACCAAGCAGACAGCTTCCCCAACTCCTGAGGTTTCGGCGGAGCTATTGACCTCGGGAGTTGCGCGGCGAGTGGAGCAGTTGGCGGGACCCCGTGCTCCATGGGCCGCACATTCTTGGCCTTGGGGTTTCCTTTGAAGACGCGACGCCGCTTCGTTACGAACTGAGTCAGCAGATTTAACCAATCAGGCGGTAGCTGTGGCGGCTGCTGGAAGGGTCATTCAGCAGCCCAAGGCGAATGCGCGTTGCGAAGTTCTGCGAGGCCCTTAGAGCAAATGGAGCTGAATTTGTTACGAAACGCTTCACCAAAACAATCTGCACTGCACTCTGTGGTGAAGCCTCAATCTTACATTTAAGACTCCAAATCGTTGGAAATAAATGCACTTATACATGAAAGCATAAAAATCATGGAAGTCCAGACTACTCAACTTTCTTGTTCTCACACCTGCTCATGTAGTGTCATTAGGAAAAAAAAAAAAAGACACAGGACATAAAACCTTTTCGTGAGTAGCAGGTGATGGCAGGTGCATGCATACCAAATAAGAAAGGCATGAACAGTAATATCAACCACCCCAATAGCCTTGCACCTCCTATCTGCCCTGACGCATCAAAAGCTTTTGGTACACTTGTACAAGCTTCAGTAACGCAAGGGGGCAGTGTGCGCTCAGACCGTGCCGCTTATAATTCAAGAAAGAGGCCTGGAAAGATGCGACCCCCTCTTAAGACAAAACACCAGCAGTCATTTGCGTGGCATGCTGCAAAGAAGAGGAGAAAGAGAGAAAGTGAGTGACAAAAGCAAACTAAGACACTCACAAAGACAAGCAAAGACTCCCAAGCACGTGCACGCACACGTGGAGACATGCACACCCCCTTGCCCAACTGTCTTATGCAGCCTCGTCCCGCTTAATTGTAGAAACCGAATGGGCAGGCAAAGGATGCTAGAAGAAACCAGAAATAAAAAGGAAGAATCTAAGTTAAGAGCAATCATGTGCCCCTGCTGTGGTTGACCCTGTGCCACCTCAGGACACACTCACAAGCCAACACACCCAAACACAATACTCACGTGCCCCTGCCACGGTTGACCCTGTGCCACTTCCTCGCACTCGTATGAACCTCGCCACTGCCGCTGCTGTCGCCAGTGCTCACACAGTCACACACTAACAGATTTTCACAATACTCACGTGCCCTCCTGTGGTTGATTCTGCGCCATCTCCTAGCGCTCGCATTAAAACCCCGCCACTGTGGCAGCTGCCACCAGTGGTAACCCTAACAGTGGGTAGGACATTCACACACCAACAGATGCCATAGCACTCACGTGCCCTCCTGAGGTTGATTCTGTGCATCTCCTAACGGGTCACATTAAACGCCACCACTGTAGCTGCCACCAGCCCCTCAGGAAAACACCCACAAGCCAACACATCTCGATCATAATACTCACGTGCCGCTGCCAAGATTGATTCTGTGCCATCTTCTGGCGCTCCCACTCGCATGGAACACCCACCACTGTCGCTGCTGCCGCCAGCCGCAATGGTGCTTTGAGGTCCCTAATGCAGTGACCACCATAGGCCATGCACCATAGACCACCATACGCACGTGCCCCTCCCCTGGTTGATTCTGTGCCATCTCCTGGCGCTCGCATTGAACCCACCGCTGGAGCAGCTGCCACCAGCTCCTCAGGAAACACCCACAAGCCAAAACACTCAAACCACACAATTCCTCACGTGCCCCTGCCGTGCCCCTGCCGTGGTCAAAAGTCACCTCCTTACTCACGTGCCCCTGCCGTGGTTGATTCTGTGCCACCCGCCTCGCGCTCGCATTGAACCCCGCCACTGTCGCTGCTGCCACCAGCCGCAACGGCCCCGCTAGAAGCAGCTCCAGTAAGAGCTTGTTGAGCGACACACAGGGTGCCATGCCTATAACGAGTATGAGAAGGTAGTGGAGGGGATAGGGGGGGTTTGGGGGGGGTTGGGGGGGGGGGGGTAGGAGCAATTAAGCAGAGGCACCGCTAGAAACAGCTCCGCTAAGAGCTTATTGAGCGACACACGGGGCCGCCATGCCTATTAACGAGTATGAGAGGGGAGTGGAGGGGAATTGGAGGGGGAAGGTTGAGGGGGAGGAGCTATAAGCAAAGGCCCCGCTAGAAGCAACTCCGCTAAGAGCTTGTTGAGCGACACACAGGGGCGCCATGCCTAAAACGAGTATGAGAGGGGAGTGGAGGGGAATTGGAGGGGGGAGGAGCTATAAGCAAAGGCCCCGCTAGAAGCAGCTCCGCTAAGAGCTTGTTGAGCGACACACAGGGGCGCCATCACCTAGTGTATGCAAAGGCAGTGGAGCGGAATTGCGGGGTGGGGGTGGGGGGGAGGAGCAATAAGCAGAGGGCCGCTAGAAGCAGCTCCAGTAACAGCTTGTTGAGCGACTCACAGGGCGGCATGTCTATAACGAGGATGGGAAGTGGGCAAAGAGGGAGGAGATGCGAATGACTGAAAAGCTTGAGAAGATAGGTAGGCACGCAGGGAGTGCTTTTGAGGAGGCCTCAAAAGCAGACTGAAAAGCTTGAGAATATAGGAAGCACGCAGGGAGTGCTTTTGAGGCGCCTCAAAAGCAGACTGAAAGGCTTGAGAAGATAGGAAGCACGCAGGGAATGCTTTTGAGGCGCCTCAAAAGCAGACTGAAAGGCTTGAGAAGATAGGAAGCACGCAGGGAGCAGGGAGTGGTGACGGGAGAGCAGATAGAAAACCATGTCAGGATTTGGAGGGATCTGGAGGGATTTGGAGGATTTGGAGGGATCAAGAAGACGCATAGGTTTCTTAATCTCTACAAATCCAGCTCAGGATGTGTAGAAGGGAAAAAGGATGTGTTTCAGGAAAAAGGGAAGAAAATTAGGGAGGGAGGGAGTGGAAAAGGGAGGCAGGAGAGTGGGGAAGACAAGACAGGATTCACCGGGGGTGGAAATGCTGATCACCAGTTATCAAGCTTTTAAGCCTGTTTCAGGAAAACAGGAAGAGAAATTACGGAGGGAGGGAGTGAAGGAGGGTGGCAGAGAAGGGGGGAAGACAGAATTCACCGGCTGTGTCATTGCTGATCAGCGGGTTTTGAGCTTGTAGATCGAATATGAGGCGTCTCAAAACCCGTCGGGCTTTAAGCCGATCGTCGCGTTTTACACTTGTCACCCAAGTACGGCGCGATGTTTGAGGCGCCTCAAAAGGCGCGATGTTTGAGGCGCCTCAAAAGGCGCGATGTTTGGCATTAAAAAAAGCTCACCAGCAGTGGCGATGCTGAGCATCCAGCCGTCGAATCCTACTGGAGCGAGGAAATCTCCCCGTTCAACGGCTGAGATCGCAGCTCGCGCTACCGCCATGGGAGGGAAGGGCTTGTTGGTCCCTGTGATGGCCTTGGTGACCTCGGGCTTCGTCTCATTCTCTGGTGGAGGGAGGATGGGATGGGAGATGAAATGGCGAGGCGTGATGGTTGATACTGCACCTTTCATCAGCCCCATGGGAGGGGATGGCTTGCTGGTCCCTGTGATGGCCTTCGTGACCTTGGGCTTGGTCTCGTTCTCTGAAGGGTAATCACATATAGAAAATGGCAGGTAGGAAAAAAAGGGTGAAGAAAGAAGGAAAGACTTGTTCATCCGAAAGGGTTTGATCGTTTCCTGTGACTTCCGATGTAAAAACAGCGAATGTGTAATGAGTCTGCTTTTGAGTCGACTCAAAAGCAGGGTGAAGAAAGAGCGAAGGGCTTGTTCATAAGACAGGGCTCGTTCATCCGACAGGGCTCGTTCGTTTCCTGTTACGGCCTTTCTAATCTCGGGTTGTGTCTTGCTGTCTGAGTCATTGGGTAGAATCGGTGGGTAGGGAATACCCACTTTTGAGTTGCCTCAAAAGCTGACTTTTGAGTCGACTTGTCGCGCGAATTGTCATAACGAATGTGTTTCGACAATTCGCGGGACAACTCGAGAGGGTTACGCGGAAAGAGTTGGGGATAGAAAGTGGTGTACAGGCGATGTCGGTAAAAAGAGGTTGTACAGTGATGGGTGTCCAAATCGAGGATGGGGAGCAGAGGAGCGATTCGCCAGTTGGCAGGAGGGGCATGCAGTTGGGAACAGCTAAGCGGTGCAAGAAAGGTGAAGGGGGAAGGCATGCAATGCGGCGAGGGGCAGTGTCGATGGCAAAGCGGCAGGGAGCCATCACGGCGGAAGAAAACCCGAAACGGTTTGTGGCGGGAAGCATGGGAGGGAGGGGCAAGCGCTCCTGAGTGAATCCGGCTGGAGTTAGCCACAAAACTGCGTGTGCGTAGTTGTGTAGCTACTTCTGTTTGTTCTCTCGTGATCATAGGAAAGCGTGTATGCCCTGTGAGTACTGGATTCATTCACGAGCATAAGCTAGAACTATGTAGAGAGGCCAGACAAGGTGGGTATTGAGTTAAGAAGAGTTGCTCTGGGGATCTTCTTAGGAGCAGGAAAAGGCAGTGACAATCACGTATCAGAGGAAAAAGGGGAAGGTGCTGAAGAAGCCAGGCTAGAAGAATATGAGGGGATGCGGGGAGAACCATGCTGAGCGACAGACTAAAAAATGTTTCCTGTGACTGTCTTTCTACTCTCGGGTTGTGTCTTGTTGTCTGAGTCATTGGGTAGTATGGGCGGGTAGGGAATACCCACCTTGGTGCAGCTCCAAATGAGGAGCGTCTGCCAGTCCCCTCAGACAGCAACTTGACAACCGTACCTTGGGCCGCAACTTGACAACCGTACCTTGGGCGGCAACTTGACAACCGTACCTTGGGCGGCAACTTGACAACAGTGCTCTCATATACTGCTCAGGGCAATCGTACCTTGGTGCAATTGAGGCGTGTCGGTGTCAGGAGGAAAGAGCATGACCACCCGCGTGCCCACGTGCACCAGCTCCATCTGCAGCGCCTCTGCTAACCCCCTGAGCGCGAACTTGGCAGCTGAATAAGCAGTGTAGCCGTAGATGCCCACCTGGAGGGGAGAGGGGGGGGAAGGGATTATGCTGTATTATGTATAGCAGTAGAGCACAGAACATCACCCTGAAGAGCCTCTGCCAATCCCCTGAGGGCGATTTTGGCGGCTGAGTAAGCCGTGTAGCCGTAGATGCCCACCTGAAAGGGACAGGGGGGAAAAGGACTATGCTGTATTGCAGTAGAGCACAGAATTTCAACCTGAAGAGCCTCTGCCAGCCCCCTCAGGGCGATCTTGGCGGCCGAGTAAGCCGTGTAGCCGTAGCTGCCCACCCGAGGGGGAACGGAGGGATGGGTAATGCCTTGAAACTCTAGACTAGGCAATAGAGCATCACCCTCATCGCTGTCTGCCAGCCCCCTCAGGGCGATCTTGGCAGCAGAATACGCGGTGTAGCTGTAGATGCCCACCTGAAGGGGAGAGGGGGACGGGAAGAAGCCTTCAAACACAGAACAGTACCTCCCATACCCACAGTCCGCCCCTCCTTGCCTTGCCGGCTCTCTCAACAGCTGGCAGAGCTGCTCAGCCTTCTCTTACCCTCGTCTCTGCCAACCCCCTCAGGGCGAACTGGGCGGCAGAATTTCCCGCACTGCTGTAAATACCCACGTGAAGGGGAGAGGGGGACGGGAAGATGCCTTCAAACACAGGACAGTACCTCGCATACCCACAGTCCGCACCTCCTTGCCTTGCCGGCTCTCTTGATCGCTGGCTGGCACGGCGGCTACTAGCACCACTGGCGCCACCAGCACACCCCTAAGCACCAATACAGTTCGCCCCTCCTTGCCAGCTCTCTTGATCGCTGGCTTGGCGGCTACTAGCACCGCTGGAGCCAGCCGCACACCCCAAGCCCCCCCCCCCTTCCTTCCCGTCGCCTTCCCTTCCCACTCCCTTCGCCCCCAATCTCACCTGGCCTGCTTGGGACGAGACCAATACAATCCGCCCTCCTTGCCAGCTCTCTTGACTGCCGGCACGGCGGCTACTAGCACCGCTGGAGCCACCAGCACACCCCTAAGCACCAATACAGTCCGCCCCTCCTTGCTGGCTCTCTTGAATGCTGTCAAAGCTGCTCCGCCCTCTCTTACCCTCGACTCTACACCCCCCCCCCCACCCCCTTCCCCCCCTCCCCTCCCCTTCCCCTTCCCCCCCTCTTCCCCACCTCTCACCTGCCCTGCTTGGGATGAGACCAGTGCGATCCGCCCCTCCTTCCCCGCCCTCTTGACTGCTGGGGAGAGCCGCTCGGATGGTGTAGACCGGGCCGAGGTCCAGGAGTTGACACCAGCACAATCCCAGCCCTTCAGTGCCCTTCATATCCCCCCCCTCTCACCTGCCCTGCTTGGGACGAGACTAGTACAATCCGCCCCTCCTTCCCTGCCCTCTTGATTGCTGCACGGCGGCTACTAGCAAAACTACAGCCACCAGCATACCCCAAGCCCCCCCCTCCCCTCCCCCCCTCTCACCTGCCCTGCTTGGGAGGAGACCAATACAATCCGCCCCTCCTGGCCGGCTCTCTTGATTGCAGGGAGAGCCGCTCGGATTGTGTAGACTGAGGCCCAGTAGTTGACGCTCATGAGCTCATGTAGGGGGAGGGGGGGAGGAGAGAGGGGGGGAGGAGAGAGGGAGGGGAGGAGAGGGGAGGGGAGGAGAGAGGGAGGGAGGAGAGGGGGAGGGGAGGAGAGAGGGAGGGGAGGAGAGGGGGGAGGGGAGGAGAGGGGGAGGGGAGGAGAGGGGGAGGGGAGGAGAGAGGGAGGGGAGGAGAGGGGGAGGGGAGGAGAGAGGGAGGGGAGGAGAGAGGGAGGGGAGGAGAGAGGGAGGGGAGGAGAGAGGGAGGGGAGGAGAGAGGGAGGGAGGAGAGAGGGAGGGGAGGAGAGAGGGAGGGGAGGAGAGAGGGAGGGGAGGAGAGGGAGGGGAGAGAGAGGGAGGGGAGGAGAGGGGGAGGGAGGAGAGAGGGAGGGAAGGAGAGGGGAGGGGAGGAGAGGGGGAGGGGAGGAGAGAGGGAGGGGAGGAGGGTGTATTCTGAGGCCCAGTAGTTGACGCTCATGAGCTGACGGGAGGGGGAGGTGGGAGAGGGGAGGGGAGGGAGGGAAGAGGACAAGGAGGGAGAAGAAACACAAGGGGAAGGCGAGCTTCTGGGATGCTGTGGACCGGGGCCCAGTAGTTGACGTTCATGCTGCGCTGTTATAGGGGGAGAGGGGGGGCGAGGGAGGGGGGGGGGATAAGCACAAGGGAACGGCACAATCGGAAGGCGGGCTGCTCGGATGGTGTGGACAGAGGCCCAGCAGTTGACGCCCATGAGCTGCCGGGGAGCGGGGACAGGTTCTCCATTGAGTTGGATTTCAAACGGTGTGATTTTTTAGCCAACTCAAAAGTCAAAGTCGCCTTCGAGTCTACTCAAAAATCATCAGAGAGAGGGGGGCTGGGTGTAATGAGTCGATTTTTGAGTCATTATCATCATAGAGAGGGGGGCTGGTCCTCCATTGAATTGGGTTTAAAAACGCCAAGTGTGGTGCAGTGAAGATCCAAGATTTTGGCAGGGTGTTTTTGAGAATTCTCAAAAACACCCTGCAAAATAAAACGGCGTGCGGTGCAGTGAAGATCCAATTCGAAATCAGCACCATTCCAAACCGGGGCTGTGCTCTGTTCAGCACCGTTTAAAAACGGTGCAGACTTTGAATTGCCTGCGGACCCAATTCGAAATCAGCACCGTTTCAAAACGGCGCTGTTCTCTCCTCTGCTCCAGGCAGCAGATCAGCACATCGCAACAAACACACATTCTGACACTCGCCTGCTGCTGCTGGTTACAATCACTCTCCTGCCTTTCGTTATAGGCACCGCCTGCTGCTGCTGGTTACAATCACTCTCCTGCTTTTCGTTATAGGCACTCGCCTGCTGCTGCTGGTTACAATCACTCTCCTGCTTTTCGTTATAGGCACTCGCCTGCTGCTGGTGGTTACAATCACTCTCCTGCCTTTCGTTATAGCACTCGCCTGTGCTGGTGGTTACAATCACTCTCCTGCCTTTCGTTATAGGCACTCGCCTGCTGCTGGTGGTTACAATCACTCTCCTGCCTTTCGTTATAGGCACTCGCCTGCTGCTGGTGGTTACAATCACTCTCCTGCCTTTCGTTATAGGCACTCGCCTGCTGCTGCTGGTTACAATCACTCTCCTGCTTTTCGTTATAGGCACTCGCCTGCTGCTGGTGGTTACAATCAACGAATGAAGTGCGAATTTAGACGCGGGAGTCGCGGCGACGAAATTGTGACCTCCTCGACCGGTGCTTTCGCTGCGGTAAGCTACTAACGAGAGGGACTGCTGTCGAGGATGTGATTGTAACGGTGCGACTGCTGCTGTAACTGGTGTGAGTCGCGGGGGTTGGAGATGGAGGCATGCCATCGCGGCGTACGCGGCGAGAAACTAGTCCTGCCTTTTTAAGAATTCTCAAAACAGAAACTAGTCCTGACTGTTTACAAATGATCAAAAATACCCTGCAGAGACCAGCCCTGTTTTATGCTGCTCCTGCAACCGTTTATGCTGGGCTGGGCTGTTTTGTCCCGACTGCACACTACCAGCAGGTTTATTCTGAGCCGACCAGAAACACGGAGCAAAGTTTACGCAATACGACGTTCCGCGTCGGACGGAGGCAGACGCTCAAGATACGTGAAGATACGCAAACAAGGGGGAAAGGAAAGGATAGTAAGTGACGCGGTGAGAACGCCTTTGATTTGTGGCGTCTAATACGGCTTCGACGCAGACGAGGGAAGGAGTGACGGGGCGTTGTTGAGCTTAGCTTGTTCACATCATAGATACATCTACACGGCGGCCAACCCTCGAAGAGCTGACTCCTCCCGATAGGCGCACGTAAGACAGGGAAAGATAGCCTTGTAGCAAGAGGTCAACCCTCTAACAGATTGTATAGCCAAGTCGTTGAGCCAATCGTCGAAAACCTGAGAGAGTGTCCCTTGGAAGTGCCGAAAACCACGTGGAGTGAGAGAGTCAAGTGCAAGAAAGAGGACGAACGAACGAAGACGAGTGAGGAGGAAGGTCGCTGGAGAAGCCAAACCTTGTCGGATTCCCCCTTGAAACAACACCCAAGAGCCTAGAGTCTAGACCGAATGTGTGGTTGGTTGGAACTTGGGTTGGTTTGGGAGGAATGGAAGCTCGAGGCGTGAATCTGACCTCAAACCTTGGGAATTGGCTTGGGGGGAGGGGAGACAGACGACCAGGTGGCACTGTACTGTACAAGCGAGTGCCGTGTGGGGAATTCCCAGCCAGTCGAAAACGTTTTGGCTGCCCCTGAAGCGAACAAGCCTGCATAACTCGGCCAATAAACGACCTTTCCCAACTCCCGAGGTTATGACGGAGTTTCCGCCTTGGGGAATTGCGCGGCAAGCAGAGCAGCTGGGGGGACGTTTGCTCCCTGAGCCACACATACTTGGCCTTGAGTTTCCTCCTAGAGACGCGGCGCCGCTTTGTTACGAACTGAGTCAGCATATTTGACCAATCAGCTGCAGCTACTTTGTGCTTGTGGCGGCCGCTGGAAGGGTCATTCAGCAGGCAAAAAACTCAAGGCGCATGGGTGTTGTTGGTGATTGTGCTCACGTTTCGCGAATTGAGAGCTCAACGAACAAATGCAGCTGGGTGAATTGTTACAAAACGCTCCACGAAACTAATCCAAATGTTCTGACGGAGCCTAAATGTTAGGTTGCCTAATCCACACCATTGGAAATTATCAGCACTTACAGTTGATAAAGCATTAGAAAACCCTTTGAAGTCCAGATTACTCCGCTTTCTTCTGGTCACACCTGCTCATGAGATGTCATTGGAAAAAAGAATTATACAAAGGAAAAGGGTTTTTCTTTCGTGAGTAGCAAGTTCTGGCGGGTACACAGTTTTAAATTAGCATGAATCACATTATCATAAGCACCCCAATAGCCTTGCACCTCCATTGTCTGCCCTGCAGCGTCAACATCTTTTGGTATACTTGTACATAAGCTTCGGTGAGAGCTGTGTACCCTCAGACTGGGGTCCTTTGATTACAAGAAAGGGGGCTGTAAAAATGTGTCCCCCCCCTTGAAAGGATACAGCAGCAGTCATTTGCGTGGCATGCTGCAAAGAGAAAGAGAATGCGAGAGAGTGAGTGACAAACTCAAGCTATAACACTCACACAGACATGCCATGAAAATCGCAAGGACATGCTAAGACTCGCAAACACATGTACGCACCCCCAGAGACAAGCACACACCTGCAACGACATGCACACATGCCCCCCTTGTACAGCTAGTAGCCTCCCACTGACTGACGTCAGTCAAATCGGCAGGTAAAGGACGCCTTTTGAATTGAAACCAGAATTGAACTCCCCCCCCCCCCTCCCTCCCTCCCTGCTCACTCCGCCTTTTGAGCTTGTTTAGCGACACACAGGGCGCCATGCCTATAACGAGGATGGGAAGCGGAGTGAGCAGGGAGGGAGGGAGGGGGGGGGGGAGTTCAATTCTGGTTTCAATTCAAAAGGCGTCCTTTACCTGCCGATTTGACTGACGTCAGTCAGTGGGAGGCTACTAGCTGTACAAGGGGGGCATGTGTGCATGTCGTTGCAGGTGTGTGCTTGTCTCTGGGGGTGCGTACATGTGTTTGCGAGTCTTAGCATGTCCTTGCGATTTTCATGGCATGTCTGTGTGAGTGTTATAGCTTGAGTTTGTCACTCACTCTCTCGCATTCTCTTTCTCTTTGCAGCATGCCACGCAAATGACTGCTGCTGTATCCTTTCAAGGGGGGGACACATTTTTACAGCCCCCTTTCTTGTAATCAAAGGACCCCAGTCTGAGGGTACACAGCTCTCACCGAAGCTTATGTACAAGTATACCAAAAGATGTTGACGCTGCAGGGCAGACAATGGAGGTGCAAGGCTATTGGGGTGCTTATGATAATGTGATTCATGCTAATTTAAAACTGTGTACCCGCCAGAACTTGCTACTCACGAAAGAAAAACCCTTTTCCTTTGTATAATTCTTTTTTCCAATGACATCTCATGAGCAGGTGTGACCAGAAGAAAGCGGAGTAATCTGGACTTCAAAGGGTTTTCTAATGCTTTATCAACTGTAAGTGCTGATAATTTCCAATGGTGTGGATTAGGCAACCTAACATTTAGGCTCCGTCAGAACATTTGGATTAGTTTCGTGGAGCGTTTTGTAACAATTCACCCAGCTGCATTTGTTCGTTGAGCTCTCAATTCGCGAAACGTGAGCACAATCACCAACAACACCCATGCGCCTTGAGTTTTTTTGCCTGCTGAATGACCCTTCCAGCGGCCGCCACAAGCACAAAGTAGCTGCAGCTGATTGGTCAAATATGCTGACTCAGTTCGTAACAAAGCGGCGCCGCGTCTCTAGGAGGAAACTCAAGGCCAAGTATGTGTGGCTCAGGGAGCAAACGTCCCCCCAGCTGCTCTGCTTGCCGCGCAATTCCCCAAGGCGGAAACTCCGTCATAACCTCGGGAGTTGGGAAAGGTCGTTTATTGGCCGAGTTATGCAGGCTTGTTCGCTTCAGGGGCAGCCAAAACGTTTTCGACTGGCTGGGAATTCCCCACACGGCACTCGCTTGTACAGTACAGTGCCACCTGGTCGTCTGTCTCCCCTCCCCCCAAGCCAATTCCCAAGGTTTGAGGTCAGATTCACGCCTCGAGCTTCCATTCCTCCCAAACCAACCCAAGTTCCAACCAACCACACATTCGGTCTAGACTCTAGGCTCTTGGGTGTTGTTTCAAGGGGGAATCCGACAAGGTTTGGCTTCTCCAGCGACCTTCCTCCTCACTCGTCTTCGTTCGTTCGTCCTCTTTCTTGCACTTGACTCTCTCACTCCACGTGGTTTTCGGCACTTCCAAGGGACACTCTCTCAGGTTTTCGACGATTGGCTCAACGACTTGGCTATACAATCTGTTAGAGGGTTGACCTCTTGCTACAAGGCTATCTTTCCCTGTCTTACGTGCGCCTATCGGGAGGAGTCAGCTCTTCGAGGGTTGGCCGCCGTGTAGATGTATCTATGATGTGAACAAGCTAAGCTCAACAACGCCCCGTCACTCCTTCCCTCGTCTGCGTCGAAGCCGTATTAGACGCCACAAATCAAAGGCGTTCTCACCGCGTCACTTACTATCCTTTCCTTTCCCCCTTGTTCGCGTATCTTCACGTATCTTGAGCGTCTGCCTCCGTCCGACGCGGAACGTCGTATTGCGTAAACTTTGCTCCGTGTTTCTGGTCGGCTCAGAATAAACCTGCTGGTAGTGTGCAGTCGGGACAAAACAGCCCAGCCCAGCATAAACGGTTGCAGGAGCAGCATAAAACAGGGCTGGTCTCTGCAGGGTATTTTTGATCATTTGTAAACAGTCAGGACTAGTTTCTGTTTTTGAGAATTCTTAAAAAGGCAGGACTAGTTTCTCGCCGCGTACGCCGCGATGGCATGCCTCCATCTCCAACCCCCGCGACTCACACCAGTTACAGCAGCAGTCGCACCGTTACAATCACATCCTCGACAGCAGTCCCTCTCGTTAGTAGCTTACCGCAGCGAAAGCACCGGTCGAGGAGGTCACAATTTCGTCGCCGCGACTCCCGCGTCTAAATTCGCACTTCATTCGTTGAGTTGGATTTCAAACGGTGTGATTTTTTAGCCAACTCAAAAGTCAAAAGTCGCCTTCGAGTCTACTCAAAAATCATCAGAGAGAGGGGGGGCTGGGTGTTATGAGTCGATTTTTGAGTCATTATCATCATAGAGAGGGGGGGCTGGTCCTCCATTGAATTGGGTTTAAAAACGCCAAGTGTGGTGCAGTGAAGATCCAAGATTTTGCAGGGTGTTTTTGAGAATTCTCAAAAACACCCTGCAAAATCAAACGGCGTGCGGTGCAGTGAAGATCCAATTCGAAATCAGCACCATTCCAAACCGGGGCTGTGCTCTGTTCAGCACCGTTTCAAAACGGTGCAGATTTTGAATTGCCTGCGGACCCAATTCGAAATCAGCACCGTTTCAAAACGGCGCTGCGCTCTCCTCTGCTCCAGGCAGCAGATCAGCACATCGCAACAAACACACATTCTGACACTCGCCTGCTGCTGCTGGTTACAATCACTCTCCTGCCTTTCAATATAGGCACTCGCCTGCTGCTGGTGGTTACAATCACTCTCCTGCTTTTCGTTATCGGCACTCGCCTGCTGCTGCTGGTTACAATCACTCTCCTGCTTTTCGTTATAGGCACTCGCATCGCGGATTCGAAGGGATGCGGGGTGCCCATCCCTTGGCTCAGCACAGGGGCAGAGCACCTGCTGTTGCCAGCTGGTTCCCGACTGCATCACGAATGGAAAGGAACGAGGGGTGCTCTGCCCCTGGCGTAATGAGTCGACTCAAAAATCGACTCATTAGCACCTGCTGTTGCCAGCTGGTTCCCAACTGCATCACGAATCCAAAGGGATGAGGAGAGGGGTGCTCTGCCCCTGGCTGGCAGCAAACCCCGAAGCCCCCCAGTCACTCACACTCGGGCTGCTCCTTATATAAGCACGCTCTCACCTGCTGCTGCCCCTCCACTGTATCGGGTTTGCAGGAGAGTGGTGTTTGCTGCTCCTGTTGGCACACCTCCTCACCCCTTCATACCACTCTCCCATTCATTCACACTCCCCTGCATTCCGTCGAACCACTCAGCAGCTTCTGGTTCTCCAGTGCATCGAGTTTGCAGGGGAGTGGTGTTCGCTGCTCCTGTTGGCACACCTCCACACCTCCGCACCCCTGCACACCACTCTCCGATTCATTCCCACTCCCCTGCATTCCCTAGAACCACTCACCTCACCTGCTGCTGGTTCTCCACTGTATCCAATTCCAAGGGGCGTGGAGTGCCCTACTCCTGGCAGCAGATCCCCACATCCCTGCATTCCTTCACAATACCCTGCCTTGAGTAATGAGTCGATTTTTGAGTCGACTAAAAAATCGACTCGTTACACACGGAGTGCCCTACCCCTGGCAGCAGATCCCCACACCCCTGCATTCCTTTACAATACCCTGCCTTTCGCTATAAGCAATCCCCTGCCACTGATTGTAACCAATCACTCGCCAGCTGCTGGTTCTCCAGAGTATCCACTTTTAAGGGCCGTGGAGTGCCCTACCCCTGGCAGCAGATCCCATCCACACATTCCTGTTTTCCTTCGCAATACCCTGCTCTTCGCTACAAGCACTTGCCTGCCCCTCATTCTAACCAGCCACTCACCCGCGGCTGAACCTAACCAACCACTCACCCGCGGCTGAACCTAACCAACCACTCACCCGCGGCTGAACCTAACCAACCACTCACCCGCGGCTGAACCTAACCAATCACTCACCCGCAGCCGAACCTAACCAATCACTCACCCGCAGCTGAACCTAACCAATCACTCACCCGCAGCTGAACCTAACCAATCACTCACCCGCAGCTGAACCTAACCAATCACTCACCCGCAGCTGAACCTAACCAATCACTCACCCGCTGTTGCTTTTCCACTGTGTCAAATTCGAGCGGGTGTGGCGAGCTCTGCCCTTGGCAGCAGACCACCACGCCCCCCTGTAGTATTCCTTCACATTACCCTGCCTTTCGCTATAAGCACTCGCCTGCTACTGATTACAACCACTCACTCACCTGCTGTTGGTTCTCCACTGTATCGAAGTCGAAGGTGTGCAGGCGGGGTGCTCTGCCCCTGGCAGAAAATGACCCCATCCCCGCTTATAAGCGCATCGTTCACAGTCCCCTGGCTTTCGTTTTAAGCACTCTCACCTGCTGTTGGTTTTCCACTGTGTCGAATTCGAACGGGTGCGGAGTGCTCTGCCCTTGGCAGCAGATCACCGCATCCAGCCGTCCAAACGCGGCCACCGCCTGATCAACGGCTCTCCTCGCATCGTCTGGATTCGCTGCATCGGCCGCTACAGACAGGAGGAAATCAGCAGAGGGAGCGTCTGGCGGTAGTAGGGCCTCCAACTGGGAGGGGAACGAGGAGGAGCACGAGCCAGAAAGGGAGGAAGGAAAGGCCATGGGGAATGAATGATAAATCAATCAACGCATCGGCTGCTACTGACAGCAGGAAGTCAGCAGAGGGAGCGTCTGGCGGCAGTAGGGCCTCCAACTGGGATAGGAACGAGGATGAGGATGAGCCATATGCATGGGAAGAGGCTATGCATGGGAAGAGGCTATGTTGGAAAAAAAGCGTTTCTCGGTTTGAATCTACACCTAAAACGCAGCGTACGTATTTTTGGTGCGTTTAATCGCAATACGCAACAGAAAAATGTGCGCATTTTCCAAAATAGGGAAGAGGGGAGGAAAGGCCACGGGGAATGATGGATCAACGCATCAGCCGCCACCGACAGGAGGAAATCAGCAGAGGGGGCGTCTGGGGGCAGCAGGGCGTCCAACTGGGAAGGTGCACGAGTGAGTACGATGGGGGGAGGAGACAAACGGGTGGGCGGAGAAGAGGAAATCGGCAGAGGGGGTGTCTGGGGGTAGTAGAGGGCGTCCAGCTGGGAAGGCGCACGAGTAAAAAGAGTAGGGGAGAGTAGAGATATGGGTGGGCAGACAGGAGGAAATCAGCAGAGGGAGCGTCTGGGGAAGTAGGGCTTCCAGCGGAGAAGGGGCAGGATTGAGTAGGATAGGGGGGACGGAAAGAATCAAGCACACAAGATTCGAGGGGATTAAGCACACAAGATTCGAGGGGATTAAGCACACAAGATTCGAGGGGATCCAGCACACAAGATTCGAGGGGATTAAGCACACAAGATTCGAGGGGATTAAGCACACAAGATTCGAGGGGATTAAGCACACAAGATTCGAGGCGATTAAGCACACAAGATTCGAGGGGATTAAGCACACAAGATTCGAGGGGATTAAGCACACAAGATTCGAGGGGATTAAGCACACAAGATTCGAGGGGATTAAGCACACAAGATTCGAGGGGATTAAGCACACAAGATTCGAGGGGATTAAGCACACAAGATTCGAGGGGATTAAGCACACAAGATTTGAAACGTCTCAAATCAGGCGAGGAAGTATCAGGGAGTAGTCTCTGATACTACTAGGGCTTGTAGCTGGGAAGGCATGTGAATATGACTGGGGAAAGGGCACGAGATGGGGGGGGGGGTGGGGGAGAAGGGGAGGTTTGTGGCGGGGGTATGAGTGCGCATGATGTCAGGGAAGGGGAGAGGCGAAATGGGGGAATGTGGTAATGTGGGACGAAGGGGGAACGAAGGGGCCACGTAGAAAGTCACCTAGTCGACTCCAAAGTCACCGCGTAGAAAGGGGACGACTGAACCGAAGGGGAGGACGGAGAGACGGATGGAAGAAGGAGATTTTGTAGAATTCTCACAAAGGGGAAGATTGAACCGACTAGGAGAAGGGCGCACGTAGAAAGGGGAAGACTGAACCGACCGGGAGGTCGGAGAGAGGGATGGAAGAAGGAGGGGAGAGGGAGGAGGGGGGGGCCGGGGGTGGTTGGGGGCGGTGGGAGGTTTGGGAACAGAGGAGATTTCTAGGAAACAAGCATGCTGCCAAGCCAACCTGCTTGTGTGCTGACGCCAGTCGCTCCTTGTTGCGTGCAATGGCCACCCGTGCTCCCTGCTTCACTGCCAATTCTGCCATGCACTCCCCCTGGTGCATGCATGCATTCATACATACCTACCCCTCACTGAATGCATCCATACATACCTACCCCTCACTGCATGCATTCATACATACCTACCCCTCACTGCATGCATTCATACATACCTACCCCTCACTGCATGCATTCATACATACCTACCCCTCACTGCATGCATTCATACATACCTACCCCTCACTGCATGCATTCATACATACCTACCCCTCACTGCATGCATCCATACATACCTACCCCTCACTGAAGAAAATACCTGCTTGTGTGCTGAATCCAGTCGCTCCTTGTTGCGTGCAACAATCGCCACCCTCGCCCCCTGCTTCACAGCCAATTCTGCCATGCAGAGCCCGATGCCGCTAGACCCGCCCACTATCAGCACCGCCTTTCCCTATAGTTATTTGAGGGGGGGAGGGGGAGTGGGGGGAGGAGGGTTACAGGAGGACCCGATTCCTGCCATGCACAGCCCGATGCCGCTAGACCCACCCACTATGAGCACCGCTTTGCCCTGCAGAGGAGGGGAGGGTTGGAGGATGGTGGGTAGGGTGGGGACCCCCATTCTGACATGCACAGCCCGATGCCGCTAGACCTGCCCACTATGTGCGTCGCTTTCCCCTTGCTTCACTGCCTATCCCGCCGTGCAGAACCCAATGGCCACCCTCGCCCCCTCTGCTTCGCTGCCAATTCTGCCATGCACAGCCCGATGCCGCTAGACCCGGCCACTACCAGCACGGCCTTGCGCTGTAAGTAGACGATGGAAGGGGGTTGTGGGCAGGGGGGGAGAGGGAGGGAGGGGCGAGGAGGGGGAAGAGGGGTAAGGGGGTAACGTGAGAACTTCACTTCTCCCACGCACAGCCTGATGCCGCTGGAGCTATCAGCATGGCTTTGCCCCGCAGGGGAGGTGATGGTTGGAGGATGGTGGGTAGGGTGGGTGGGGTGGGTAGGGTGGGTAGGGTGGGTAGGGTGGGTAGGATGGGTAGGGTGGGTGGGGTGGGTAGGGTGGGTAGGGTGGGTAGGGTGGGTGGGGTGGGTGGGTGGTACAGGGACAGGAGAACCCTCGTTTCTGCCATGCACAGCCCGATGCCGCTAAACCCGCCCACTATCAGCACGGCCTTGCCCTGCAAGTAGATGACGGAAGGGCGGGAGGGAGGGGGGAGGGGGAGGACGCGGGGGGAGGGGGATGGAGGGGGGGGGGGTAACAGGAAAACGTCACTTATGCCGTGTACAGCCCGATGCCGCTAGGCCCGCCCACTACCAGCACGGCTTTGCCCTGCAGGGGAGGAGAGGGTTGGAGGATGGTGAATAGGGTGGGGACCCTCGTTTCAGCCATGCACAGCCCCATGCCACTAGAGCCGCCCACTACCAGCACGGCCTTTCTCAGGGGAGGGGAGGGGAGGGTTGGGGGTGGTGGGTAGGGTGGGGGCCCTCGTTTCTCCCCTGCACAGCCCCATGCCACTAGAGCCTCCCACTACGAGAGCACGGCTTTGCCCTGCAGTGGGGAAGGTGGGGGGGGGAGTGGGAGGAGGAGGGTTACAGGGGGACCCTGACTTCTGCCATGTACTGCCCCTCCCCATGCCGCTAGAGCCGCCCACTATCAGCACCGCTTTGCCCTGCAGTGGGGAAGGTGGGGTGGGGGAGGAAGGGAGAAGGAAAGGGAGGTCATTTAGGCACCCTCATTGCCCCATGCACAGCCCGTTGCTGCTAGAGCCGCCCAGAATCAACACGGCCTTGCCCTGTGGTTGGGTGGGGGAAAAGGGAGAGGGGGGATGGGGAGGAGGGGGGGAAGGAGGTGGTAGTGCGGAGGCTTTGCCACGAGCACGGCAGTGTGTGATACTAATTCAGTTTTGAGGCGTCTCGAACCTACATTATTATCACACGAAAGAGTCAATATTCAGACACGGACGGGGTCGACATTCAGTCGCGAAAGAGTTGATATTTGGACGCGAAAGGGTCAATATTCAGACACGAAAGGGTCAATATTCAGACACGAAAGGGTCAATATTCAGACACGAAAGGGTCAATATTCAGACACGAAAGGGTCAATATTCAGACACGAAAGGGTCAACATTCAGATACGAAAAGGCCAATATTCCGAATTTCCTGTCTCTCACCTTCAGAGAGATTCGCTTTGGCCGGAAAGTCCACGCGAGGATCTCAAACGAAGCCACTATCACGGGGATAGCGACCAAAGCGGCCCACGCCCATGGTCCCGCCATTCCAAAAACCCTTTAAAATCGCGCGACGAAATCAGGACGTGCGGCGATCGCTGAATCTGCAACCCTTTCGAGGGTCGGGATTCGAACCAGTCGAGCCGATATGGCAATAAATTGGCTATGACGGCCGTTTTACGGACTAGCAATTGTAACAATGGTGATTACGTAATCTGGTAACAATGGTGATAACGTAATCTGATAGAAATAGTGGTTGCGGGCTACTGGCCACTACTGCAGATACATTACGGCCGCTGTGCGACGAACAGCGGGTCTTCAGCAGCTGCCTTGAAAAATCTGACAGGCTGCAGGCAGGCAAATTTCTGCCTCCTGCTGATGCTGCAGTAATGCGACAGGCCAGGTAACTCCCAGGGATCTTCTGACACTGCCGGCCTTAGATGCTTCGTTGTAAGAAACCTCGGTAACGGCAATCTGCACAAACTGATTAGACAAAGGCCAAGTCTGAAAAGCAGCTCTTCATTCCACGCAATGCTTTCTACATAAAACTAGAATGCAAAGATAACCATCCCCATTAATGAGCCAAATGTGCACCATATTGGTGCAATTTGAACTCCAAAATCAGCGCTTCCATCCACGTGGAAAGTGAAGGCACTAAAAACAATGCGCTTCACAAAGACGCAGCTTGGAACGACGGCTTGGAACGAAGGCTCCCGTCGCTCTTCTTGGAGTGAAGGGCATACCAAGCTTGTTAGCGCAGAGAGTAACCTTTCCCAGAAAAGGCTTGGAAGGATGGCTTCTGTGGCTCTTCCTTCTTTGGCTCCTCCTTTTTCCTTGGCGCCTGCATGCAGGGGAAATGCCAACAGACTGATGAGATAAAAGGAATGTAGGGTACCGTATAAAGTGCGACCTACACCCGCCGACTAGATATTACCACATGCCACACACATCTATCGCTCCATATGCCATGACGCATCACCACGTATCGCAACATACATCACTCACAGCACCTTCCACCATACATCAGCATCACACAACACATTACACCACACAGCACCACACTCCACCACGTACCCTGGGACCCGCTCCGGGTGCTCCATCACTCGATCCAAACACCAGACGCCCTTCCATCCTCCCCACCACTCGCAGCATCACCAGCAGTGCACAACACAGCAGATCAAGGCTTACCCGGGGACCCGCTCGGGGTGCTCCATCACTCGATCCAAACACCAGCCGCCCCTCCTTCCTCCCACCACCTGCAGTACCAGCACCAGAAGCACTTCCTCCCCCTGCTCCAGTTGCGCCTTCCCTAGATGCACCTCCCCCTGCTGACGCCCGTGACGGTGCGGCTGCTGCTGCTGACGTGGCAGGGGAGGACGGGGAAGCGGCGGGCCGGCCGTCCAATCGCCTGCCCGTGCCAACGAATGGTGTGAAGGTAGGTTCCTCAGGTTGGGGGGTGGCGTCTGGGCGTGGTGATGTGGGCAGGGATGGGGAAAGGGAGACACATGATGTGAGTGTAGGTTCTTCGTCTGGTAATTATTTAAGTTGCGAGAAAACGTGGGAGAGTGTGGAGGGGGGGAGGGGAGGGGGGGAGGGGAAGGCGGGGTGAACAAATTGCTTTTCCCAGATAGTTCAACTATCTTTCCCATCTTATTCCAATGAAGCCAGGTTACGCAGGCACTCCGGGTGAAGAGGCTATATCTGGGCCTGGAGCCTGGAGGTGTGAGGGGCAGGGAAAACAGCTGTTGATTCAACTTGTGAGTCGACTCAAAAGCACACTTCGGATCCACACACACCTGCTTTCCTGTCGTACCCCGTGCCCTTCTTCCCTCCGGCATCAGAAGCAGCAGCAGCAGCAGCAGCAGCAGCAGCAGCAGGTGCTTTAGGAGCCGTGGGGATGCGCTCTGGTTCTACACAGTCAAAAGTCCACCTCACAATCCGTGTTGATGATGAATATAGCCGCAGCATGCTGTGTGTCGACCACATCACAGCATGTTGTTTGAGTCGACTCAAAAGTCATCTCGACTCAAAAGTTTTGAGTCGACTCAAAAGCCAACTCGATTCAAAAGCACCACTGGCAGCAGAAGCACCACTGGCAGCAGCACGACCAGCAGCAGCAGGTGCTGCTTTAGTTGCCGCTGGGATGCGCTCTGGCTCTACATAGTCCAGGGGAGGCGCGAAGTCCACTTCACAGTCCGCTCATGAGTACCCCCCTTCTCTTGAGGCGCCTCAAAAGCAGTCCGCTCATGAGTACCCCCCTTCTCCCCACACACCTGCTTTCCCGTCTGGCCCAGGGCCCTTCTCCCCACACACCTGCTTTCCCGTCTTGCCCGGGGCCCTTCTTCCCTCCAACCTCAGAGGCGGAAGCACCACCGGACGCAGCAGCAGCAGCAGCAGGTGCTCTAGGAGCCGCGGGGATCCGCTCTGGCTCGACATAGTCCAGGGGAGGTGCGAAGTCCACCTCACAGTCCGTCTCGATAATGGATATAGCGGCAGCCGGCCGCGCGTCAACCACATCTATAAAGTACTTCTTGTTGTTGTAGGCCACCATGATGCTCTCTCCCTTGGTGAGGCAGGAGAAGCTACGCAGGGTCATCTCCAGACTGTTTAGGACAGGGGAAGATAGGGAAATGGGAAATGGGGCACGGGGAATGGGGAATGGGCGATTTTTTAGTCGACTAAAAAATCATGTGAGGGTTGGGAATGACTGACCACGTCAACCACGTCTATGAAGTACTTGTTGTTTTAGGCCACCATGATGCTCTCGCCCTTGGTGAGGCAGGAGAAACTACGGAGAGTCATCTCGAGACTGTTTGGGGAAGAAGGGAAGTCAGAAAACAGGGAAATTGGGAGATTGGGAAATTGGGAAATAGGGAAATTGGGAAATAGGGAAATAGGGAAATAGGGAAATTGGGAGATTGGGAAATAGGGAAATAGGGAAAGTGGGAAATTGGGAAATAGGGAAGGGGGAGCAGGAATCTGTGAGAGGTGGGGTACGATAAGCTGACCATGATGCGCGCGTCAACCACGTCTATGAAGTACTTGTTGTTGTTGTAGGCCACCATGATGCTCTCGCCCTTGGTGAGGCAGGAGAAGCTGCGCAGAGTCATCTCGAGCCTGTGTGGCGAAATGGGGAAAGGAAGCATCGGGGAGCATAGGGGGATGCTTGTTATGCTCCTGGTTGTTGCTGGTCTCGGCCTCCAGGTAAACCAGCACCCCAGCCAACCTCTCCGCAATCCTCCAATCGGTCTGGTCCATGGTGTGCCAATCCCACGCTCGCCGAGCATCCCCCCAGTCCACGTTCCCCAGCAGCTCATTTCTGACATAGTGGTTGCCCTCAGGGGCGCGCTGGATCTGCCTCCTCTCTCTCCGCGTGTCGCGCTGGTACGCAAAATCGTGGCCCTGCTCTCCTGGAGCCTCAAAAATAGCATGTACAGCTGCGTTGGCGTCTCTTTCTGAGGCGCCTCAAAAATAGCATGTACAGCTGCGTTGGCGTCTCGTCGCGGCCGGACCGACCGACACAATACACCTCCTCCGCAGTACCGGGACCAGCAACAACCAGGAGCATCAGGAACATCTGTAGCACCATTTACAATCACACCCCGTACATTCACACTCACACAGCCTTGGGATTGGAGATGTCCAGAAAGTCTTCGGTATGTGGCTGCAGCTTCACACAGGTGCTCTTGGGGAGTGTGGCGCACTGACCTCAATACGTCACATCCCCTACAGCCACACTCACACGGCTTTCGGGTTGGAGATTTCTAGAAAGTCCTTGGTGTGAGGCTGCAGCTTCACATAGGTGCCCTTGGGGAGGGTGGCCTTCTAGTGGTCTCCTTGTAGCGCCATTTACAATCACACCCCATACATTCACACTCACACGGCCTTGGGGTTGGAAATATCCAGAAAGTCTTTTGTGTGAGGCTGCAGCTTCACATAGGTGCCCTTGGGGAGTGTGGCGTTGCGAAACCGCACGATATCTCCCTCCTGTAGCAGCAGGTTCTGCATCATCTGGAGTGAATGATTGGGGAGTGGTTGGGGGGAGGGGAAAAGGGGGAGGGGAAAAGGGGGAGGGGAAAAGGGGGAGGGGAAAAGGGGGAGGGGAAAAGGGGGAGGGGAAAAGGGGGAGGGGAAAAAGGGGAGGGGAAAAAGGGGAGGGGAAAAGGGGGAGGGGAAAAGGGGGAGGGGAAAAGGGGGAGGGGAAAAGGGGGAGGGGCTAATGAGGAAAAAGTGGGGAGTGCGAATCGTACAATATCCCCCTCCTGTAGCGGCGGGTTCTGCATCATCTGGACTGGAATGAATGACTGGGGAGTGACAGGGGGACAGGGGTGGGGGAACGGGGGGGAGTGAAGGGGAGAGAGTGGCGGGTGTGAAACCGCACTAATATCTCCCTCCTGTAGCAGCAGGTTCTGCATCATCTGGAAACAAAGTGCAGGAGACGAAGGGAGAAGGGCATGAGGATATCACCCGCGTTTTTGTTTGCCAAACCAGACCCGAAGCGGCAAACCCGACCCAAAACGGCAAACCTGACCCAAAACGGCAAACCTGACCCAAAGCGGCAAAACGTACCCAATACGGCAAAACTTCAATACGGCAAAACTTACCCAAAGCGGCAAAACTTACCCAATACTTCATGTACACGTAACCTTCTTCTGCAATGAATTCCCACAGTGGGACGCCACAGTGGGACGTGCGGTTGAGCGAACACAAAAAGACTTCACCAGTATGTCAACCTTACCAGCTGCCCTTCACCTACCCAGTACGGCATGTACAGGTATCCCTCTTCTGCAAGGAACCCCAGGACGCCAGTGTGTTGAAAGCACAGCACAGCCTTGCCAACATGTAACCTGAGGCTGACACACTCTGAGGCTGGCACACTCTGAGGCTGGCACACTCTGAGGCTGGCACACTCTGAGGCTGGCACACTCTGAGGCTGGCACACTCTGAGGCTGGCACACTCTGAGGCTGGCACACTCTGAGGCTGGCACACTCTGAGGCTGGCACACTCTGAGGCTGGCACACTCTGAGGCTAGCACACTCTGAGGCTGGCACACTCTGAGGCTCCGACGGAGAGAGAAACGTACCCAGTACAGCAAGACCTACCCAGTACGGCAAGACCTACCCAGTACGGCAAGACCTGCCCAGTACGGCAAGACCTGCCCAGTAGTACGGCAAGACCTACCCAGTAGTACGGCAAGACCTACCCAGTAGTACGGCAAGACCTACCCAGTAGTACGGAAAGACCTACCCAGTAGTACGGCAAGACCTACCCAGTAGTACGGCAAGACCTACCCAGTAGTACGGCAAGACCTACCCAGTAGTACGGCAAGACCTACCCAGTAGTACGGCAAGACCTACCCAGTAGTACGGCAAG